TTTTAATATTTTATTGATCAGAGATCAGGAGTATCAAAAAATGATTTGTTTTTACTTTGCTTACTTCTGTGTGCTGACCTGCTGGTGATTTTTAGATTTATGCAATAATGAAGTTTTCAAGGCCGATAGCACTTTCATCTATATTCGATTTAATGGGAATAGCCGTTAAATTTGAAGCTAAACTTTATATTTTAAATAATTATTAACGTGTATAGAATTACGTAATACAGTATATTGAGAAATAAAGAGCAAAATATAAACTTAAAATCGTACAAATATTTAATTCTAAACAGTTAACTATTATTCCCGATGTTTTAAACACAATGCTATCTTGACTAATAAAAAGATCTAATGCCAATATAAATGAACTAATTTGTATGCTAAACCCTTACGAATCAGTGGGTGACGTAAAAAACTTGATAAATTTAATGGTATGTTTAACATTAGGTAAACTAACACTGTATGGTTTTACTTCTTGAATAAATTGTTGAGGAAAATATTAATTTTCTGAGAGTCAAATCATCCAGCTCCTTTAATTATGGTTTTATTATTATGTGAATATACCACTCTTCATCCTCCTGTTTAAGCACACCATAATCCCAAATAAATCAAAAATTTGATCAGGTGGTCTTACTACATACTGTATATATTTTCATATATTGTTTCTACCTCAGGAGAAAGAACTAGTAGCAGGGAGACACTTTAGATAGACAGGGCCAATGTGATATGCTAAAGTTTCTAAAGGCATACAAATTAGTACAATTTTGAGATGTATGAGGTCAGGCAAAAGAAGAAATGGTGATTTGTTTTGTAAAGGTCAAGTTATTTATTCAATAAAAATATAGGTTCAAGCCTGTAAATTTCTAGGCAAAATTGGAGCCTTTATATATATGTTTTAGTTATAATATTTTTATACATAATAAATATGTGCTATAAAAAATATTAGAAATATAAAAGAAGTGTTATAATTTGTCAGAACAGTTATCCATATATGTTAGCATAGAACAAATACTCTGGTGAAGATACAAGAATAAAGATAATTAAATAAAAATGAAAATATTCTAGAGCAACAATAGCATGAAAAGTACAGTACTAACAATAAAAAGAATAGTAACACAAGAATTATTCTAGAATGGGCAATATTTTAAGAGTAAATGCTAGTGAAAATTGAACAAGTGTAAGAATGATCTTAGGCAAAAATCAAGTATAACAATATGGTCACTTTGCTCTTCAAATTTTTAGCTTCTAGATTGATCATGAACACTTTGCATTCACAAATAGTAAGAATTACATACAAAAAATATTTGGATATTATTATTAATCAGTTCTTATTATATATTTGACAAATTATTGGGTCCAATGTTATTACATGTGTTTTTTTTTATTAAAGAATATTTATTCTCTCTCTTAGCATTTTGCCAAAAATCAGTTATGAATTGTGAAATATTATTCCTTGATATTCATATAAAAATTGAGAAAAAAAAACTAAACATCTATCCTATAGGTAGAAATCTGATCAGACTTGTCGAAATAAGAATTAAATTGATAATATTTTCTTATACAAAGAGTAATATATGATTATAATTATTTTTCTTTATCTGTCCTCCCCAAAATAACAGATATATTTTCTCTTATTAAAATCAATATTATCCTCAACATTTTAGAAATCTTATGAGATCTATTTAGCAGCTTGCACTTTTTTTGAATATTAATGCTCACTTTGTATAAGTATTAATAGTTCAGAATCAATTACAACTTTAGGCATTGCTATTGTTATTAAAGGCAAAATAGTTTTGATAGAATCAGAAATTAGACTATATGCTAGTACAAATTTATTATCTATTTCCATTATATTTCACAACAAATTCTTCTAATCCTTGCTTGCAAATTTCACATTTAATATATGTTCCAGCTTTAACAAGTTTTGTATACCATCTTTGTTTCTTATCAATATATTGATCAGATTAAATTTGTTATTATCCAAATATTTCTTAGTTTATTTTCAAGTCAGATATTTTTAACTGATTCAAGTATTTATATGGTATTTATTATTTTTTCTTGTTAGTGTTGAATTTGAATAATGTTATAGAAAAAAAAAAATTTCACACATGATCCTATATGAAGTATAGTAATGAGGATACAGTAATCAGGATAAAGAGGATAATTGGAATAATTAAGATACTGAAAATATGTATAAATATATTTAACTTTCTTAATAATAAAGGTAGCAAGTGTGCTTATTTAATGATTAAAATCTTTATCTGTATAATAAATTCTGTGCGTTTCATTTTCTAGTATTGTATTTTTTATTTTCTTATAATCTTATGACTGACTGACAAAGATTGACTAAATCTAATTATCTTTTCACTTACAAGATCTAAAAAAAGAAGTATTAATAATTATATGAACCATATTGCTAAATAGTACAAAGTGGATCTACTTAGCTATTGTGTAATATGCTGCAACAAGATTTGCATACAAGTAACAAATTCACTGTTTCTTATTATTACAACAGTTAATTGATATTAAACTTAATATTATATGGAGATATTTTGTAAAGCCTATATATTGTGAATGGGAAATGTATAATGAGGGATGGACACGTAACACAATTCACATGTCGCGTGTCTAAAACCCAGAAATATGATGTTGAAAATGAAGTAGTTTAAACAATAGTTTATTAGTAAGCTTAAAAAGTCTAAATCCATGACGTCAGCGATAGTCTATTCTAGCGTAGCATTAGGATATAAAAGAACAATGTACTCATGATAAAAAAGAATCAGGGAAGAAAAATAAAATAAGAAAAAACTGAACACCCAAAAGTATCACGCTCCATAGTGAGACAACTAATTAAAAATTGCTAAATTAGTAGCGCGATCGACGACACCAAAGAAGGGAATTTTTAATTAATAAACTTATCTCGTTTAGTACCGCTAGTTTGGAAAGAGGATAATCCAAAGGGCCACGAAGGAATGATGGCAAAAGATTATCAGTAAAAGCACAAGGGCGAGGAACAAGAGGAACAATAGTTAAAAGAAAACCTGGCCAAATCAAATCACATGCCTCGACTAAAGAAACCTACCCACCTGAACGTTACGCGAATGCTGGTTCAAGAAGTGACAGACTTGCCGAAAATCACATTCATACTAGATAATGTAAGACTATTTTTCTTTCATCGTAATAGATATGTGCTTTGACTTTTTCAAACCAGTTATTACCTAACAATAAGATTTCGTCTCTAGAATTGATCACTTGAAAAGTGCATAGAATGCCAATACCTCGAACTGAAACCTTTATATTGGTAACATTCCCTAATGTTCTCGAATGTATCCCCGTAATGGTAATGACTGCAGTTGTTGACTTCTCATTTATTTTTAAGTTCAATCGATCCATCAATCTTTTCATGATAAAGCTTACGGCTACACCAGTATCGATCATAGCTGCTATGGTTTTGATTACAGATTTTGATGCAGCATCGTATAGCGGTTGTTTTTTTATTATTAGTACTTGCAAATATTGTTTCCTCTGAAATTGTAGGTCTACGCAAGGCTTTTGAGAGATTCTTCTTTTGTTTTGTGTATTGTAACATCTGCCCAAGTGTAACATTTGCTGAAGTTGTGAATAGGTCGTCGACAATGTTGTATGATAGTTCTGATTCGATTCTCGAGAATCTTTTTTTCTTTTGTGTAGTCTTCTTTTGTGTTTTGAGTGGTTCTTCTATCATTTCCGGTGGATTTTCCTCCATGATTTCTTTGTTTGCAAGTTCTTATATCTTTACGAATTGTTTGTTATCATTTCTTTGATTTCTTAAGTGACCTTTTCACTCTGGCTTGGTCCCGGAGTTATCTTTGGTACAGTTATATGGTCGATATCTTCTAGTTGTATAATATATCTCATCCTCTTGTTCCAACATTTTCACAAAACGTGCTTTGGTTTCTTGTTCTGTCATTTGTGTAGATAGGTCATTCCGTGAGTTTGTTTTTCCTGCCACACAATCTCGAGCGTAATGACCTTTCTTTTTGCACTTAAAGCAAGTTACGTTAAAGATATCTACTCTGTTTCTCATTTTAGGTCTAGCTTAGAATGTCATCATTGTGGTGAGCTTAGTGTAATTAACTGTCAGATTTTGCATCTGTTTGATTAATTCCGCAATAGTTTCTTCTAGAGAAGTGATTTTTGTTTCCTTTTCTATTGTCATTTCATAGTATTCTCTGGCTTCAATCCTTTTTGCACCAGTAATCGCTTCTTCCAGATTTCTGGGATCAACTACTGTTAGAAATGAGGCTGTTTTCCCTTTCAATTCTCCAGTGAACATTCGCACTACATATATTTGCGGTAGTTCATTCTCAGGTCTACTTTTTTTAATAGTCTTCTAAATTTGTAGGCATAGATACCCACTCATTCTCTGTCTCATTGGCGCAAGGTATTTAGTTCCACTTGCCATTGGTGTTTTTGTTCCGGAGTGATGAAGTATTGAAAGAATGAAGGTACGAAGTTTCTGTTGAGATTTCCATTGTCATTCCATTGTATAATAACATGTCTTTGATCATGTTACCAATCTGCAGCTATTCCTGCTAGGTAATCCAAAGTGATACTGATTTTCCATTGATTACTCCAGTTATTGGTATTGGCAGCTCATCCAAATGCTTCCAACCACTTGAACAGATCCTTATCATCTTCAAAGGTTCTCACTCTAACTAAATTGCTTTCTTTTCCTTTCTCTTTAGGTGCATTTCTACCTCTGGCTTTTCGAAACATATTTGCGATCTCCCACAGGATACCATTTATTTGATTTGGGTTCATTTGTATGTCTTCTTCATTTGTGAATGTTTTGACATCACTTTCTTGGTCATTATATTGCTCATCCATAATGTAATTTATCTTTTATCTAATTGTTCAAGTCAAATTTCAGACAGTTTTCTCTTGTTCTACCTTAGACGGGTCAAAAATATGAAATGAATAAATAAATCAATAAAACAAATAAAAATAAAAAAAATTGGGGGGTATTGAAGCATCTAATCTCACAGTTACTATCAAAAATGTAATGGACAAATGGTGAGTCTGTCACTAATGCTACTAATGCTGACAGAGATTCACGGATCTGTTATTGATAGTTTATGATAAAAAAATAGTGATTTGATGTGCACAATTTGGCTGAGTCTTTCTTACTTCTTGTACACACACACCTTTATTAACAACATTTTCTTACTTATTTATATATTTTCTCGTCATTACATAAAATAGATTAAGTTAACTATACTAGTTACAAAATGATGATTTTAAGTACTATTACATGATTATAAGCAATCTCACAATGTCATTGTCATTGCTCACAGTCATTACATTGTCTAGTCATAACAGAATCAGATCTCATGTTATTCAACATAGATCGATCACGTGTTGGCATAGTATCATCATTTGTTATGGAGCACATACAATCCTCTATCATTATCACTCACTTTCGTTATGTTAATTACATGTCTATGGTTCTATTATCATGACACTTATTAACGTTGGACAAATATTTTATTATTGGTTATTTTATTTTACCCCTTACAATATTTAAAGTAAAAAATTATTTTACTTCTAATATAAGTTAACTTTTTATAATTAAATTATTAAAATTGTAATAATTAAAGTTATTTACAAATAATTCTACAAAATTTATTATAAATTATATAAACATTCATTTAAAAAATTTTTTTAAAAAATTTAAAATTTTACTTATAATTAAACTTTAAATTTTTATTAAATAAATAAAAAATAAATATTGTCAATAGATAATATATAATTAAAACAAATATATAAATTTTTTTAAAAAAATAAATAAATAACAATTTTTAGTTAAAAAATTTTAAACCTTATAAAAAAAATATCTTACAATTTAAGAAATGATAAATTTAGTATTAATTTGATGTTAAAATAGTATTGTTTATACATGTTGCTGAAATTTGTAGATCCTTGATGCAATTAATGCAATTATTTGACGCAATTAATTGAGTTACTATTAAAATATATAAATAATTGAGTCATGACGCAATTATTTTTAAGGATTTAGGGAATTGAGTCAACAGCAAAATAATTTATGCCACATGTATAGTATTGTTAGAAACTTTACTAATAAATAATATCTTTTAAAAAAATTTGGATCAATTTATGATTATATACTTAAATAATATTCTTATTTATAGTAAAACTAAAGAAAACTATTATCAATATATAGATTATATATTAAATATTTTAAAAAAATACTATCTATATACCAAATTGTTAAAATATAAATTGTTTTAAAAATATATAAAATACCTGGAATATTATATTTTTAAAAAAGAATATTTGTTAATTAAAAAAAATAATACTATTAAGGAATAAATAATATTAAAAAACATATCTGAATCTTGCCAGTTATTACAAAACATTTGTCAAAAGATTTTCTGCTATTATCTTAATTTTTTCTAAATATTGTATAAGAATTCTGCTTATCACTAGAATACTGCTTAACAAGCTATATTTGATAATTTACAATTCTAATCTTATTGAATTTTATTAAATTTTTTATTGTTATTATAGATGTCTCAAACTTTGCAATTAAGGCTATATTTTTATAAAATTATAAAAAAAGAAACAACTAATTGTCTATAAGTTTACAAAATTATTACCAGCTAAGAAAACTATTTTATATATAAAAAAGAATTGCTAGTAATTGTATATATTATTAAGCTTTAAAAGACATACTTGAAAAGACAAAAGTCCTGAATAATTACTAACTATGTTTCACTAAAGTATATCAAATTACAAACAATATTATTAAGAAGACAAGTATACTAGTTGAAGGTTCTACAATTAAGTAACTTTGAAATTAAATATTGTTTAGACAAAACAAATGCTATTGCTAATATATTTTAAGAATTCTATATTATCAATATTATTACTATTAATACTTATACTGACTTGAAAGATTTGAAAAAACTATATATTAAGAATAAATACTTTGTATCAATTTTGCATATTTTTAAAGATTCTGGATTATATAACAAAAACAATAAATTAAAACAAAATATTATGAATTAAGAAACAACTAAATATATTTTAAAAAAGAATATCAAGAACAAAAGGTTTATTATACAACTCATGTAAAAACATCATGATATCAAAATTACTAAGTTAACAAATTTTATAAAATATTAAGAAAACACTATTATTAATTACAAATGAATAAAAATATTTACAAATTCATAATAAGCTGCAAATCTTGTCAAAGGAACAAAGAATCTAATCAACAATTAGTTAAACTCCTATAATTATTGTGAATATTTCAAAAAAGATAAAAACAAATTATTAAGAACAACATATCAAGAGTTTAATAAAATTGTAGTTTTTGTAGATCAACTTTTTAAAAAACTGTTTTTTGTTCAATATATACTATACTTATTCTACAGCATAGAAAGTTATAAAAATATTCTTTAATATTTTTTATTATAATAAGTTGTCATCTGTTAACTTGAATATGCCAATAAAGTTGGTAGCTTTAATGCTTTTGAGGTTTAGCTCTAAAA